CTATGCATTTACACTCATAAAGAGATGGCAATTATTTCAAAGCATCAAAAGCCAAGACCAAAAACATAAAAAACTACACACAACCTAGCACACCCAAAAGCTTAAAGAAAAGGCAAAGGCCCTGTTTGGTAAAATAGTTAGCCTATAGGCCAATTTTGGCTTATTTGATCACTATTAGATCTTTGATTTGGTTATTGTAACTCCAAAATGCTAAAATTCAAAAAGCTGTTCAAAGCAACTTTTTCAATTAGCTTTTTGAGAAAATAAATTATATCAAACAGCTATCGGCTAACAACTAATTTACCAAACACTTTTCTACAATTAGCTAATGTTATAAACTAGTTATACCTTATAATTAATCCAATCAGCTAACAGCTAGCCGCCATCAGCTAACGGCCATTTACCAAACAGGGCCAAAATCTCCTATGAGGATCCATGAGACGTGCCGGGCTTTTCATAAGTATTACAGTTTCCCTTATAAGTATTACAATTTTCTTCATAAATAATTTTTCAACTCTTAGTATTAAATTTTGATTTAAAAGTATTAAAATTTTCATCTAAATTGTCCAGCATAAGTATTACATTTTCATCTTGATCCGACCCGTAAGTGGACTAATCAAGGCATCGAGCATTTCAATTTCCAAAATTCCAGTACATTAAACATAAATAACATGCTTTTTACATACCCAATTTATGACATCGCGGCATAGCCCGTGTCCGTAAACACGCAGACTATCCAAAAGGGAAAAAGACCCGAGCATTTTCGATTTTCTATTCGCGAAACCCTAATTACACAACAAATAAGTTCAAATACCGAACAGAAAGTTTCCCCAACCACTGAAAACGAAACTACAAGTTTACAAAAACATAGAAATTGAAGTGTTAAAGTTGGCGAGAACTCACAGCCGAGCTTGATTGAGTGATTTGCATCAAACCCGGATTGGTTAGAGTGACGAGGAAGGACCCAGAACAGCGCCGACAGAAATACAGCGATGCTCAGCAACAAGATGAAGAAACACTTGAAACTGAAGAATCTACAGAGACCCATTGAACATCTCTCGCAGAAGAAAACTGCGGAGCCGTCCTCTCCGGACCCATTTTGCAGCTGCTGCAGATGCAGTGGCAGTCGCTGATCGTCCGATTTCCCCATTCGCTGAGCATCTGGAACAGTGTACTACTAGTATTGTGCGCTCTCACTCCTCCCTCTCTCTCTCTCTCTCTCTCTCTCTCTGTCTCTGTAGAGTTCAGAGTTTCTATATATGTTCTTTTCTCTCTCTACCAAATGGAGAGCAGACTGTCCACTCAGCGCTGTTAATGGGTGACGAATATATACTTTATATATCTTTATTTATTTATTTTCAATTTTTTTATAACCCGACTTCCTCACGTCTGCAAATATATATTTAGAATTGTTATACTATCATCAAGATTTACCTATAAGGTGTAATTTGATCTTAAATGACATATAAATTGTGTAATTTTAATATTGAAATTATGAATTTTTAGAATATAAAATATGTATAGTTTTGTATTGAGTAACGAAGTTAGATGGATTCAATTAAAAGAAAAAATACAGAGTAATATATATGAGGAATTTATTTATTTATTTACATTAAGTATCACAACTTACGCAAAATTAACCATAAGCCCTTAGAACTTTTGACCTAAAGTCACTGTAGGAGATAAATCGTGAATTGCCATGTCAGAATTGGTGCTCCATCTCAACTAAAAGCCCCCTACGTGTGCGGGCAGATTACGTAAATCGTAGTCACTTTTTTTATTGGGTGACGCTCCATCTCAACTAAAAGCCCCCTACGGGTGCGGGTCGTTTACGTGGACCTCGAACCCATGGCTCTAATATCAAATTGAAGCATGTGCTTCATCTCAACTAAAAGTCTAAACTGATAATTGTATTGCACATTTATGTTTATATATGTTATATGCTCAACAGTTAGTTTCCAAGTCCTTATCCCTGTCAGTACATTTTATGTACAATGAGTTTTTATTTCTTTTGATCAGCTAAGACCTCCCAATGATCCTCTTACGTTCTCAGTAGAATTTGAACCCCATATTATCATTGAAATAATACATGCATTAAGGTGATCGATCGGTTCAACTAATTGAATTTATTTAGTTATGAGATTTATTGAGTAATTCAAAGCAAGTTTAAACTCATAATATACAAATTTGCATGGATCTACCTTTCTTAGCTCATAGTGCGTATTGTCATGTATTCAACTCATTTTTATAGTTGGTACTGATCTTGCCAACTCGTCAACTTTTTGCAACTTCGTCCCTATTTGTTTTCCAATCGTGTTTGAACCCATTAAGTTGTGCAAATAGTTTATTTTGAAAGTAACGTTTTGATCACTTCTGTTAATATTTTTTATTGGGACCCTTGTTTGAAAATGTTGGTTTGGTCATATTTAAGGATGACATGAAGTTATATAATAGCTGGATATGCTATGGCTAAGGAACGTGGATGTGAAGCAAAGTTAACAGGAAAGGTGTGGGAGAGAATGCAAAAAGAATATTAGAGATTGGATTAAAACGTCAAAAAGTGTAATTCTTATCAGTGGTCACCACCAGCCATATATCAAAGTGGGTTCAAGTGATGTCAATGGTTGAGAAGTAGTATAAAATTGGGGTAAATTTAGACAATTTATCAGACTGTTTACTTGGTAATTACAAAGTTACAAATTTAATTATCAATGAAAACGATTGAATTGGTCGAATAGTTGATTTGGTAATCACAAATCTAACTAGTAGCCTTCTCAATTTGATCTGATTTATTTTTTTGTGATCCTTTGTTAATCATGGTCACAAGGTAAATAGTGCACAATAGACTTTTTAATATATATATATATATATATATATATATATATATATATATATATAACTAGTATAATTTTTTTTTTGAAACACTAAAAAAATAAAAATAAAACTAGTATAAAATTTAAATAAAATAAGAATATTTTGATTTTATGGGCACAACCTTTCTCGGTAATTGGAACAAAGCTATTTGTCCTAATTTTTATTCTTAAAAAAAAAATTATAATGCGTTAAAGTATTAGATTTAATAAAGTCAAACATCATGCATAAAAAGCATATCGTTGTCAACTTTGTGTCCACTGCTTCTTCCCATTACTTACATTTGTCTTACTTATTATTTATTGATAATCCTTCTTTATTTATTTTTTTTAATATTTTTTACTTATTTTAAAATTTAAAATTTTGTGTTTAATAGTACTTCTAGTGTAATTTTTAAATGTATAAATTTTGTATATTAATACTAAACTTAATATTATAAAAAATTGAATTAAAATAACTTCAGTCAAATTTTGTTAACCGAACCGGATCAAACATAAAATAATACGAAAGGAGTATTATTTTTATTTCAAATAACAATGATAACTGAAATGAGACTGATGTATGTCTTTTCGAATTCTCATCGTGTTCATAAAAAGACTGATATAAGCATAGATTGAATGACATGCAACTCATTATAATGGACTTATTGTTATGTTAAGAGGTTAACATTAGGATTTATATATACTTTTATAGCAATAGTCTTTTAAAAAAAATGGTATAAATAGCATTGATTCACAATATTTTTCTCTTTTTTTTTTTTTGGGTAATTTCCCTTTTTCGTTTTCAACTAGTCTTTTGCAAGCTTTACAGTTTACATTATCTGTTCATCTGTTGTGTGTATTTGCTTGGTGGATTGGTTAGGCTTTTCCATCATGGTGGGGGTGATTGATTATCCATTTTAACTTCTTGGGGTTTACTCAACCCATTATGGAGAAAGTATTTTGGAATATAATAATATATATAAGGGGGTGAATGACATGCAAAAAAGTTGGCCATTCCCATCCATACAAGTGGATTATTATGGATTAATTATCATATCGTGAATGTGGACGTTTCTTGGTTGTGATGATGAGTAGGAGTAGGCATCATATTCCATAACCAAGTCACCTAATAAATTATAGGATAAATGACATTTCAATTAAAAAAAAAAATCATTACTTACAATTGGATATATAAGAGAAAAAATTCTTGAAAAAATCTTATTCACGCGAGTAAAATGATGATGTGAAGATGGGAGAGACAATAGTGCAGTAGGCATGATGTACTCTTCACATGCACTTTATTGATTAACTGCATTCTTTGCAAGTATACTCTAACTGGGGCATAGAAAAGTGATAGACAACTATTTACTATTTTCGGTGTATAAAAAAGTGATAGACAACTATTTGCTATTTTCTTGACTAGCCGCACTCCTTGCATGCATGCTCCAACTAGAGCATAGGAAAGTGATAAACAACTGTTCACTATTTATTAAGTAATCTATTTTTAGTTATTTGGATATTGTGGAAGGAAAACATGAGAGATATATGATGTAGTCTACTAAGATCTTAAATTCTAAGGTTTGTTATTTGGATATTGTGGAAGAAAAACATGAGAGATATATGATGTAGTCTACTAAGATCTTAAATTCCAAGGAACCAATCTTGATGAGAAGGTGATGTGGGAAGACAATTGAAGAGTAGCATTGGAAATATATGAAATAGTTTCCTAAGATCTTAAAGCCCAAGGAACCAAACTTGAGTTGTTATAGCATGGACCAAGGTCCACCTTGCAAGGTGCTCTTGTAAGGGGGAGTCTAGTCATAAACTATATATAAACGGTATATTTTTAATATTGAAATTGTGAATTTCTAGAATATAAAGTATGTTTCTAAGTCAAAACACATAACAGCTATAGAAAAGAATTTGTGAATACAATACAAGGTCATCGTATAGTATTTGAAAGGAAGCAAACACACGTAATACGATGAGGAATATACCTAGTTGTACCAAGAACTGTTAGGACGAGTTTTCAAATAAGGTTGTTGCCACAGTGAACACAGCACCAAATGCTGAACAGACTAGCACTCTGGTATCATCACTAATGTGGGAAGAAAGATGGCAATGAAATTTCATCTCATGAAGAGCAACTGCAACAAACTCAGATGAATTTTTATACGATATTTGCAAACTCAATCTTTACGTGCTTCATTATCACATACAGAAGAAGCTGAACAAAGCTTCTGTTAGATCAAAATTTTAATCCTCCGAGGAAAGTGACAAAATCGAAAGAAGAAAGAGCCCTAACAAACACGATTAGCAAAAGCCAGACTAAATCAGCTTCTTCTTTTGGAAAAATTGCTTCAAATGCAATATTTGCAGAAACGAAACCCCAATGCAGACGCCCAAGGACATGATACTGAACCAAGCCACTCGAGAATTTGTTGTTTCGCTCACTGTCCGCATCTCTGCTTCTCTGAAAGAACACGAGAGAAGTTTTAGCTAGAGAAGAATGTTATGGGGTTGAGGTAATGCTTAGAAGGAAAATCGATGATGCAATTAAAGAAGAAAACAATCAATTACCTGGTCTTTAAGTATAGTAGATTTTCATGGATGGCCTCGACTGCACCTTCAAGCTTTCTTAACTCAAGCTCAATGCCCTGTTGGACGCAAAGAGAAATGTGAACAACACTGGTCAAATCCTCATGTATCAAGATGTTAATTTGGTTGCACAGTGAATCCCCAAGAGAGAAGAGAATAAGAGATTAGTTATAAGCCGATATTTAGACTTAATAGGTAAAATCAGCCAGTTTGATGATCTTACTTCTATTTTCTCCTTTCTTGCAACTGACTCCCAGTCTTTTGCAGCAATTCCAGTTTTCCAATCGAGGTTAACACTTAAACCCCCACCACCAGGGTTATGACCATCAACCCAGAAACAAGCTAGATAGTTGCCGGCCTCAGTAGTTGTGAAGGCAAACTGGCCGTGTGTCACATTCTCATTTGAATGAAGGGTGTTTCCATATGGCGACGTTACCTACAGCCAAAGAAAAGATGAAAATAATAATAATAATAATAATAAATATTTTTTTTAAAAAAAAGGCAAAAAGGGAAGGGTACAATTTTTACAACATTCTCAACCAAGAAAGAAGTGCATCATATTAGTCGTCATAAAGAATGCAGCTCCGCATCAATTTTCCATCAGATATCACTAAAATGTTCCAATTATAAGGAATGGTTTAACTCCAAAGATTAAAAAAAAAAAAAAATGTCTCCTACAGCAAATATATCTCCACCAATGGTTCTTGAGTCTCAATAACTGCAATAGCGAATAGCCTTCTTCCACTTTGAGTAACAGTAAGTGCACGCAATGGGAAACTAAGAATCGGTTCAGAATCATTCATTTCATAATTTATAACCCCTATACCCAACCCCAATCTTCCTAAACTTTTACTTTTCTTTTTCTGGCAAGGGCAAGTGGACCGAATGCCTTTGTCATGTAGTATCCCATATCTATGGTATCATCAGTTGGAGTTGCTTCAAACAAAGCTTGTTTTCTAGTTCTATGTGATATATAAACTGTTTGATAATGCAAACATTTTTTTAAAATAGAGACCACGTGATACCTATATCACATGAAACATTCACACGTCAAATATTGTTTGGCATGTGAATGCACGGTAAATCAACAATGTCGTATCCAGTCTCTTCTGAATTTTGGCATAACACTCATTTGAGTACTCAACCTACAACCCTAAAGCTTTTAATCTTACACTATTCAAATTTGAGGCAAAAGCAAAATTTTAGTTCTCACCCAAGGTAAATGAGTAGTAAACTCTAAAAATTAGAAAAAACTAAAACTAAACACAACTACAATAAGGTCTTCCTTTATCAACATAATAGAAATAGAATTCTTCTTCTTCTTCTTTTCCATTTCTTTAATTGAAGTTGCAAAAGATAATGCTAATGAAACATGATACTGATGGGGGCAATCCCAATCAAGTGACTTGGTAAGTAGTAACCACAAAGTTATAAGTTCAACTCCCGAGGGGTGAGGGGAGCCGCTACTGGATTTCTTGGTTGAGCGGTTCAGCCGTAAGCAACCTAAGCTGGTTTAACGGTGCACACACTCGGGTAGTAGCTGCAGGTTTCCCTCATCGCTCAAATACATGATACTGATAAATTTGAGTTCCAGTCATCCTACTACAAACCGAATTACTATTTTCTGTCTCTTGTTCTTAGATAAAGTCTTTTGATATACTCATATAGCCCATCCGTGCAAAATTACTACCAAGCAAAGAAAATGTCCGAAGTAGAACAGGGAAAATCATGAAGCTATTTGCGAAATAAATCACAGCAAAATTTCTCCTGAAGCTCACATCAAACTAAAACTTAGCTTCTACAAATATTCAAATCATGTCCAATCCAAATTATACAACAACAACAAAAATGCATATATGCTGCACGAGAAATATGCACAACGATTTCCTTAAAAAAGCCCTAACCTTGACGGAGATGGTGGGAGTGGGGTGGACATGATCGTCGGAAATGACGACGTAGTCGGCCAAGACGACGACGTTGTTGTGAATTTCCTCCGACACGCATTTGGTGCCGCTCCCGGGCAGATTTAACCATATGGCCTCTCCCATCTCTAACCACAAAGACAACGTCATCAATGGCAGTGCCCACATCGCCCATCCGCGCAGGCTCGCAGCATTTTCCACCATCATTTCCTTCCCGGAATCTCACTGTATATACAGTAGATGTTTATGGTAAATGATTACTATGGACCTACAGATCGAAGAGGTCTCTCTCTCCCCCCGGTCTCAGATTCATCTTTTCATCGGAGTGAAATTTTATTTGCTTGGGAACACAGAATTCTCGGAATTCCGTGAACGCGAACTCAGCAACCCGGTTCATGTGGGCTTTCCAATGGCCCGTGGGCCGTTCTTGCACCTCAGAATAATTTCATTAGCCGGATGAGACCCAATGCCCATTTTAAGGCAGATTATATTATGCACCGCGTATCAAAGAAACGTCGTTTTGTTTAATGAAAAAAATAGCATATGTTTCTCGTCGTTTCGCACAATTTCATAAAAAATAACTCTGTTATTCAATTTCATTTTATATACACTGCAGTTTCAGTTCAACACAATTACAGTTTCATTTCGATATAATTACAGTTTCATTTGATATTTATAGACTCCAATATGTGAAAATGTTATTTTGGTGCAAGTGCACTGCGGTCCACGATATAACGACCTATGGCGCAGAATGCATTATGCGCTCTAAAATTTCCTATTTTGTATGTACATAATTGTATAATAAAATACACATAAACTCCTAACGTAATACACATAATATAACATAATACATATAAACTCTTAACATGATACACATAAACTTTTAACGTAATACACATAAATTCTTAGGGCGCATTGTGCACCCTAGTGCATAATATAATTTGCCACTATTTAATTTTTGTTTTTGTTTGAGTTAATTCTATTTTTTGTCATTGACTTATACTAAAATTATTTTTCGTCCCTAATGTTTTTAGTAAATGGACAAAAAGTGCAACGTGATAATTTAAGAACAAAAAACGAGTATGATCAACACTTAGAGACAAATTCTACAATTATCCTATAATTTAGGAACGAAAAGTAAAATTTTCTTTAATTTTTTTAGAAAATACTACATCTATTTTAATTTTCTATTCATAACTTTTACTCTTACACTTAAAATATTGATATAAACATCTTTACAGGGATCTATATAAAAAAATTAACCTATCAAAATTTATCACATCATAAAATAAATTTAAGTGAGTAAGATTTTTGAATACATTACTAGAATCCATTTTCTTTTATCCAATAATCTGTTGCCTTGATAAATCCGTAGTTCCACGTTTCCTCGTACAATTTTGACCAAATTATTATAAAGGTCCTCCCTTTTTTCTTTCTTCACAATCTGGCCCAGAAATTTCCTCATATATTATCAATTGATTTGTAGGGTTTTTGCGTCTTATCCTCATGTCATGATCCTATACAGATCCGTCGTATCCTTGTTGTGACAGGTAATTTTCTATTTAAATGTTTCGATTTCTCAAATTCTCACATAGTTGTTGTTGCTAATTGTTTTTTGAAGTAATTTTGTTATGATTGCAGAAGAAAATTGCATCTTTGGATTTTGTTTGTGTGTTTATATAGAGTGATTGATTGAGGAGAAGGGAGCAGAGATGGGAAGGGATAGAGATAGGGATATATCGAGGTCGCCGGCGTATAGAAGGAGGTATTCGCCGTCGCTTTCACCGGTGGGGCACAGGTCTAGCCGCCGAAGCCGGAGAGAAAGAATTCGATCTCCTTATTCGCATAGCAGGTGATACCCGATTACTTATATGGCAGCTTATGGTAGCTCTGTACTGTTGATATGGTATCAATTTAGTTATGAAAATGTATTCTGATCAGTACTTTTTGGAAGAGTTTTGCTGATTCAATTACAGTTTGTTCAGGTCATCTATACATATGTGATTCTTGACAGTGTTGTTATCTAGGATTTTGTTGTCATGGAAGGACTTTCTGCCTTGCTCGAAAATTAGGATGTACTCCGTAATAAGTTCATATTGTTGTCTCTCTATAACATGTATTTGGACTCTGGAGAGTTAAAATGGAGATTGTTTTGAAGAATTTGTGGTTAGCCTAGGTTTTGGAATTTCTCTTCTAGTGAAAAGATTGCTGAGTGGACTGTGGGGGGGGGGGGGGGGGGGGGGGGGGGGGGGGGGGAAATTCTTTATAAATGCAAATTGGCAACATGGTTTTCTTCATGTGAAAAATTAAAAAGACAGTACTGTACTTCCTTTCATTGGTAAGCAATCAGGCGATGAGTGCCGATGGTTCAGTTCCAAATGATAAAAGACGCAGCTCACTGTTTATTCTTTGCAATCCAGAAGGTAACCGTATTTGCTGTTGTATTGGATTGTGCTGGTCCTGCTGGATGAGATGGGGTTTGTGTGAATGTGGATTTTGTAGCCATTGGTCTTCATTGTTTTTGTTGCTCAAATGGCATGTCTTTTTATACAGAAAAAGAAGCCGTTCATTGTCATCAAGACGCCACAAAAGTCGTTCTTTAACTCCAAGGCGACATCGAAGCCGCTCTCCAACTTCAAGGCGTCATAGGAGACAAAGAAGTAAGAGTACATCATTGTCTCCTATTGGTAAATCTTTGATATCAAGTACGGGATCAAGAGAGCGGAAGGATGATAGTGAAATGCTAAGAAAACAGGAAGAGGAAAAGAAAAGGTATATCTATAGTTTTTTAATCTTTTAGCTGTCTCTTTTTATTTTGATTTGTGTCCTGAACTGGTATAGTTATGTTATTGAGCTATGCTTGCGGAAAAACAAAATAGCTATGCTTATTCATTTTACTGATTGTGTTGGTCAATACTTTATTTGATGTACTTAATACTTTAGTTGATGTAGGATGGATCTGAGAATGCCTTTGCTATATCTGCTATTGTCTCTAAGTGTCTTAATCTGCAAAGCTCTAAGGCTTCCAAATGCTGGCACAATTTTTCTTTAATTACAGATTCAGATTGCCTCTTGGACTTTTTGGTTGATTAAAAGAAAACTCTCCACTATCTAATTGTCTTTGTGTATGCTTTTGTCATTCTCTTTTCCTCTTATTTTTTCATTGGCTTCAAGTCCTAAATTATCATTTTCCTTAATGAATTTGTTTAAACTATTCAGTTTTATTTAAGTTTTTTTTTTAATATTACCTTTTTGGAAGGCTGGAGGGCTGGGGGGGAGGGTTGGGGCGTCAAGCAAATTAATGACCTATTTAAAATTAAAACGCAGTCAAGAATGATGTATATGGTAAGAAAGTTAAAACATTTGCAAGTATTAAATAAACAAAGCAAAATTAGTCCTCCATATATTAAAAAAAAAACAATCAAATAATTAAAAACAGTAGGCCTCTTGTCAAAATTCTGTTTTGAGCAGCAAACAATATCTCTTTAATATTGTTTTTGCATCTATAGGAAATCAGGTTTATTAACTTGTAGCTGTTTATGCTAAAAATAATATATTGCCTGGCCTAATTATTAAATCTCCTCTCAATATTTACTGTGGGCTTTCAACAATCTTCAAATTCTATTCCCCATAGCCACGAAAACTCCGTCTTGTTTGTAGGATGTTCTCATGCTTAACTTAACATGATGAAAAATTTGGTCATATATTTTAACAACAGGAATTTGCTTTTCATAACTCTATCTTAATACAAGGCTTGAAGTTCTTTGGTGATTAGCTTCAAAACTGCGACAGGTTACTTTGCATTCTTCTCCACAGGCTTAATTGAAGGAAGTTACTGCTATATTCAACTTGTTATTTTTGATGATCAATTTGGATGCCTCGTTTACGGTTTATCTACTACTGTTCACCAGTTTGATACTCATCTGTTTCTACAGAATTCAGTTAAGAGGTATGCTATAAAGCATAAGAATATCTATTTAGTGCCTATGGCAAGTGAAGGTTAGTCTGTCATTCGTTTTAGTTATATATATCAAGGAAAAAGTGAAAGGAATTTTTTTTTTTCTCAAGTCAAAATCTCTTTTATTTTATCAATGTTCTGTTGCTCCAAGAGAGACATTAGAATTTTGGATGATGATGAGATTGAATATCCAAGTGTTTTCTGCACCACTGGCCTTCCCTTTGTTTGATATTCAATTCTCTTATAACAGGCGTCAACAGGAAGCAGAATTAAAATTAGTAGAAGAAGAAACGGAAAGAAGAGTGGAAGAGGAGATTATGAAAAAAGTTGAAGAGAAATTGAAGTCTGCCTACATCAAGCTTGAAATTGACAAGCGACTTGCAGAAGGTCGAAAGAAGCTTGTCATCGAGGTTGCAGCTCAGCTCGAAAAGGAGAAGGAAGCTGCTCTCATCCGGGCAAAACAAAAGGAGGCAAGTTCTTTTTCTTTGCAGTTTGTCTGGAAAAAGAAATGTGCAACAATACTGATGAACTGAGAAGTGACATGGTTTTATATATTTATTTGTTTAGGAGCAAGCTAAGAAGGAGAAAGAAGTGTTGGATAAGGTGCTCGAAGAGAATAGGATGAAGGTCGAAGAAGCACAGAGAAAGGAAGCTCTGGAACAGCAGAGCAAAGAGGAAGAACGATACATGGAATTGGTGGAGCTCCAACGACAGAAAGAGGAGGCAATGCGAAGGAAGAAGCAAGAAGAGGAGGAAGAACGCGCCAAACAAATGAAACTGTTGGGCAAGAACAAATCTCGACCAAAACTGTCCTTCGCTTTAGGGTTGAAATGAACAATGCCCTCGGCCTGAGTGGTGTCGTCGTGTTGGTGACTTGTCTTGTCCCAAAAGAAGGTGATTTGTAGTGGAACCGAAGCCGGGCAACCCCTGCCCTTCTTACCTTTGTTTCTGTAATTTCTTCTTTTCCTTTTTCTTTCTTAGTTTAACTAGGTTACAGTTTGCTGTATTTTCATGTGCTTTACCTTCATTTTTGACAGACAATCAATGTAATGCCCGCAGCTGATGTTAACGTGTGTGATAGTTTAGTATGCAATGGTCCAATGTATGGTTTACTTCTCTATTACTCCGTAGTTTCTTCTCATCCCACATTCCCACAATTTTGTTTTGGTTTATATATATTACTTTAATGATAATAATAATTAATAATAGAGAAAATGGTCAAATAGATCCTTAAATTTTATTTCAAAGGTCAATTAGCTCCCTAAACTTTATAAAAGTGTAATTAAAAATTAAACCCTCAAACATGTTAAATTGGGTCAATGAAGCCCAAAAATTCGGTAAATGACCTGTTATTATAGGTCATTTCAATTCCGGCAATAGATTGCGGCGACATTCTGGCGACCGGGGAAAAAATCCAGTCCGGCAATAGATTGAGGAAGAGAATTGCGAATTGAGATATTTATCATAATTATTTTTCTCCAAAATATGCAAACCTTACGACAACATGACGAAGCTAAAATTAACGATTTGTTGACTACATAGGTAAAATATATTTTTTGTTGAACATAAAATGTTCATCATTAAAAAATAAAAAAATAAGAGATAAAGATGGCTTAAGGTTTCTGCTCAAACAGCTGGATTCGATTTTACATTGTACATAAATAAACAATTTCTATCTAAATAGCACGAAGCACCAGTGGTCTAGTGGTAGAATAGTACCCTGCCACGGTACAGACTCGGGTTCGATTCCCGGCTGGTGCACTCGAGGAGCTATGACGAAAGCTGCGCTCTTGTGGTGGTTATTGGGTCGCCACGTGTGCCTGATATTGATCGGACGACAAATCGTGCATCTGAGCTCCTGCCTTTTAATTTTTTTCTCTCATATGAGAACTATTTTCCAGAACTTGTAGACAAATCTAAATCTGCTAGATTTGGATAGGAAATCAAATAAAAAATGAGTGAGATTATTTTCATAAATATTAACGTTTTGTTTATTTTTAACTATTAAATTTACTAGACCAATGATTTAGATTTGTCCAAACGTTCTCACTTTGGACATAGTTCTCACCTGATTATGGACACACCCATAATTCGAGTGAGTTCAAATTAAATGACATGTAACTCAAAATAGTCCATATACAGACCATGCCGTGATGGTTCAATTACTATAGCACGTGGACTATGTTTAGACTTTAAAATAATTCATGTGGGAAGAGTTCGGACCCACTCATAAAGAATAAACAACTTGCATAGAGCAATTTACTGGAGAGCAGCGATGGAGAAGAACGGTGCAGTTAAACTTAATGTAGACGTGGCTATTGATAAGGAGAAAGCTAGTATGCGATTTGGCCGTGTTTTGAGAGATAAAAATGGTGTTTTTGTTGCCAAGAGGGGTCCAGTGGAGGGGTGCTTTCTCCCTTGGGGAAGAAGAAGCGGTCGCGGTAAAAGAAGCTTTAAGCTAATTAATGAGTTGAGTTATGACCATGTCCATATTGAGATCGACTCGATTGTGGTGGTCCAAAGCCTAAATGCCATCGAAGGAGAATCTTATTTCTATTTTTTTTATTAGAGATATTAAAAACCTGCTAAGAGGTGTTTGTAGTCTTTATTAAATGATCGGCGAATCGAGCGGTCCATGAATTAGCTAGGGCCTAGGGAGTCTCTTTCTAAGCATAGTTGAATGGAATGATTTTCTAGTCCTCCCCTATCATATGTAACGTGTTATGTCGGGATTTGAATTAATGATATCATTGTGTTTATTTAAAAAAGAAGAAAAAGAAATTTCGAGTTGTTATACCATGGACCAGGATCCACCTTGAACGACGTATAAATTGTGTATTTTAATATTTAAATTGTGAAAATATAGAATATAAACTATATTTCTAAGTCAAAATACAAGAGATTTGTGAATACAATACTGAGTCATCAAATTATAATCTGTTAATGTTGTGTGAATGGAGTATTTAAAAAGAACATTTGAATACAAAATAAAGTAATCAATTACATATATGTTAACATTGTGTTCATAATGTAAAAATTATAAATTTTTAAAAGATAAACCATGAACAATTAGATACGGTTCCACAAAATAATTTACCGTAATTTCGTATTACTCTATTACGATGGCATAATTGGGCTGAAGCGCAATAAATATAGACTGATTACTGTATCGATCCAAACAAATGCGACTTTAGTGATCCGGTCGGCCCATTAGTAGTCTGATTGCAAATTATGGAGCGTTATGCTGTACAATCGTGTGCACCATGCATGATGCACACGTTTGCAAAAATGACGTCGTTTTGACATCCGACTTTAAAAAAAAATAAAAATTCAGAATTGCATAACTACACATCCATAACTTCATAACTATACATTCAGAATTGCATGCATAACACATCCATAACTTCATAACTATACATTCAGAATTCCATAACTACACATCCATAACTTCATAACTATACACTCAGAATTCCATAACTGCACATCCATAACTTCATAACTATACATTCAGAATTGCATGCATAACTACACATCATTAACTTCATAACTATACATTCAGAATTGCATGCATAACTACACATCCATAACTTCATAACTATACATTCAGAATTGCATGCATAACTACACATCCATAACTTCATAACTATACATTCAGAATTGAATAACTACACATCCATAACTTCATAACTATACATTCAGAATTGCATAACTACACATCCATAACTTCATAACTATACATTCAGAATTGCATAACTACACATCCATAACTTCATAACTATACATTCAGAATGTGAAATTATAACTTCTTCATAACTATACATTCAGAATTGCATGCATAATTACACATCCACTTCATAACTATAAATCCAGAATTGCATAATTATACATCCATAATTTCATAACTATAAATCCAGAATGTGAAATTATAAAATTATGAACATATGTTTACGTAAGTAACGGCAATCGATTTTTATTTATTTAAGTAAAACAATGCCGTTTTTGGCATAATTTGCCGAAAATTATTGCGTGGACCGAGTAGTCCAAAATAATGTCGTTTTGATGTTAAGAAAAATTTATTGTTCCACACGAGTGTTACAATAATGCACATTCTGGGGTAAGATAATATATTTTATGAATTAGAATAATGTACTTTGTGTTAGAATAAACTCATAAAGTACATTATATGTGTTAGAATTATGAATTTCTAAAGTAAGATAATGTATTCTATGAGTTAGAATAATATACTTTGTGTTAGAATAATGTATTTTATGAGTTAGAATAATATATAATGTACTTTGTGTTAGAAACTTAGAATAATGAAATTTTCTAGGGTAATATCGATAATGTATTTTACGAACTAGAATAATGAATTTTGTGTATTTTTAAACTGTGATCCACATAGCTGTATGGACTTCAATCCACGCAATAATGATTATAGTCTGTTGAGCTCACCCAATTTGCCTTATTTTTAGTACAAAATTTATTCTTGAGATAATACTATTTTTGGCTCCACAACTATAGTCTATAGTGGTACCCCATTTTAGTTTTTATTACTCCGTATTAATTTAGTTACATTTTACTATCGATTATAGTAGTATCCCACATTTAATTTTTTAGTATCAAATTAATCAATGTTGGTTCTTCTGATTTTTTTTTTTTCAAACAGACCAAATATGTCTAAAATCTCTCACTTTCACCAAACATGATCTTTTTTTTTTTTTTATAATAACGAGGAAAATTCGAAGTCACTATTCAATGATGTATACTCGATAAATCCCGCCCTTATGTAATAGCCTGCAAATCACAAATGAGAGGTAAATCGACAAAGAGGGTGTTTACAAAATTGAACTTGTAATTTTCATGTATGAGAGTTATGGTTCATCTGCTCGTACACCCTTAGCTTGCTGAGTTACATTATCTTTCTTCATATGTGGATTCATGGAACCTGGAGGGAGTGGTTGAGTGGAAGAGACTCATTCCTTCTTAATCAAATGTCAATGGTTCAATCTTTGGCTTTGGGAATGGAGCAACAATTCAGCGAGCGAGAGGATTAGTCATTGTGTCTAACAGTCGAAACTCGGGGTATACTCAAAAAAATATGTGGATTCATGGAACTATATATTTTTTTTAATTAAAGAGGTAAGTGACTTGCAAACTAGCTCAAAATAGATTTTAAAACAATAACACTAAGAATCATGAAAATATTATTATTATGGAGAATGAGAGATTTTAAAACAATAACACTAAGAATCATGAAAATATTAGTATTATTATGGGGAATGAAGATCCATAATCATGTGACAAAGTCATTACTAATAGGTATACATAAGTCTACATTGGTCATATTCTTACTCAAATAAGGAGTCTAAATTGGTTATATTCTTACTCAAAAAAGGATGGTTTATTGACTTTCTATTATTAAATCCAGAACATTGAATTATTCTCCATTTCTTTTGATATCTCATCCACTCCTATACAATTTATGATTTATTTACTCTGGGTAACCTCAATCAAGTTAAGCAGGCAATTACCTTAACAATCACAATATTTCAAATTCGACTCCCAATAAAAATGTTATTGACTTTAAATTGGTTTACTTCATTTGTTGACTAAGACAACAAGATAGATTTCACTTAAAGTGTAACTTCAAGTAATAGTGGTAAACTTTCATAAAAATTAAATGATTTTTTTTATTGCCTTGCATTCATCTTGGGCTAGCCTACTCAATGTTCAAAGCCTCAACCTTACTTCGCTAACCCACTAGGCTACTATTACAACTTAATAACACGCTTGGGCTCAACAAGAAAAATATAAGAGCATTTCCAATAGTGAATTTTATAAGATTTTTGCAGGTGGATTTGCACATGTGTAAAAGAGAGAAAGTTGGGCGAGAAGATTTTAGTCCTTATCTAAGGACCTGTTTTTTGTTCTCATAGTGGGATCTACCAAGAAAAAATAAACTTCTGCCTTGGTCACATGAAGCGCACAACAAGTGCCTAGTCGGGCGTGTTAATCTAGAGTTTTTTTTTTTTTTTTTTAATTTTGTTTTTTTTTTCTATCCCTCCCATTTTCTCTTTTCTACTTGGATCCTAAAATATTGTGCAACAATTAGTG